GCCTGCCCTTCTGTCTCTGCGTCCATCTTTTGAAAGTGTGAAAGGCTTCAGCCTCACATGTGGTGCAAGGACGGGCTGACAGTTGGATTAGATGTTGAGTTATGCTGATGTGGATCAGGTCCAGCTCTGGGTATAAAGTTACAAATAGTTGTGTGTGCGTGCTTTTAAGTTGTAGGTGTATTAATACCGGTTTGTGATGGAAACTGTGGATTCTTAGATTACGTTTCACCTTGTAAATCACTTCTGTTAATATCTGTATTGCACGAGTGTCACGAGTGCATGAGTGGATGAGTGTCACGAGTGGAGCAGCTGTGCAATGACTCAACAAAACTAGTGGGACAAATGTGGGAGACCATCGAAACTAAGGATTAGAAAGTGACACAAGAGCCAAAGGTTCATTGTGTTCATCATCATGTTCACTTACAGAAATGCTCATCGTATAAACACAGCATGTTACACACTCTGACTTTTGCTGAGGAAACTTCCACAGTGTCTTAAACACCAGTTTAGTTGGGATTCGTGTGTGTTTGGTCAAAGTCCGAGCAGTTCGAGTGGCGTTAGGCTAAAATAAAGTTCTTAGGAGAAGCTTTCTATAAACATAAAGCTCCGACTGCATCGCATCGATGGACCAAACAACCTGCAGTTCATAGTTTTGGGGACTGTAACAGGGTAGGTGAGTAGCTGAAAATAGGCAGTATAGAGGAGGAAGGTGACATATGCTCAAAGAGAGACAGAGTAAAGTCCAGACCTGAGCTGAGCCATATGTGTCTAATGTGAACATGAACAGTTTCTGCAGTTACGTTGGCCTGTGTGAGAGCCAATAACCCGAGCATCAGCTGGTGTCTGGTATTCAAAAAGGATGCAACAACACATGCACTGTACCATGCCACCAAGTGTTAACACAGGGAGGTGCTCAGAACTGAATCTAAATTCTCCTGAAGGTAAAGGAAAGCTGGTTTGAGGAGCACCAGAGCAGACTAAACTTTGGAGGGCACTGAGATGTAACGAGCTTGTGTAAATCACATCCCTTCAGTGTGGACGATGGTTACAGGGACCAAACAGCTCATACTTCCAAAGCACCCACCACACTGTGGGACATGCTCCAATGCCTCTAACTCTACAAAACAAACGCACACGTCATTCCTCAGCACGCTCGAATATCCTCCACAGAGTAAAGGTGAGGAGTGAAGGCTCTTAGTTAGATGGATCATCCCCCCTTGAGCATCCCAACCAGAGGCTATGAAGGCTGGGTCCTATCCTTACCCGAAGGCACAGGAACCAACTCTCTAGTCCACCAGGTACAAACCCCACTGTAAACTTTGTTAACATTTTTTCTGAAAGTCTAAAAATAAACACTCCATTTTCACCCCCACCCCTATCATCAGATAGCCCCCTGAAGCTAATGGCCATCTGGGAGCCCCTATACAAGGTTATACAGGTGAGTGGTGAATCTGGCAGCCTGTATCAGGTTTTCCACAGCTGGTTAAGTTGCAGAGAGGAATATGCTTCAGCTCTAGTCCTGCTGTTTTTGAATCACTTGTCTCAAACTCTGACCAATCAGATTGCAGAGATGAATGGTTTTCGGTTACTTTTGCCCAAAGGACAATAAGTCTTTTTGCACTTATGTTGAGCATCAGCTGATGTTACAACAGCCCATGACCTCAGAGAGCCCTTTCTTCCTGTTACACCCACCCACCCTTTGTCCTGCTCCATGACCGCTCCACCCACTTCTCCATCACTAACATCTCTCACCTCCTTTTGTCCACAGGAACTGAAATATGCAAAAACGTTTTATAACTTTATGTTGGGTGATACTTCCTGGAGGGTTTGTTGGAAAATGTAACTGTGCCAAATCCTCTGAATGTTCACATGAGTGTGAACGTTCACATTTGATCCAATCCTGAGCTTCTGCTAATAGTCAGCTAGTCACAGCAGCGAGCGCCCAGAACCTTCCAGTTCATCAAATCCAAGGTTTGTGATGCCAAAAATCACACAATCTATGAGGTTTTACATGGTGACACATCCACAGTGTGATGAGCAGACAGTGATTCAGCAGCAGGAGTCAATGACTTTGTAGGAAGCAAGAGACGAGCATTTGCTGCATGTCTCTTGACATGGATACAGAGATGTTCAGATTTGACTGATGTTTAGTTTTGTGTATTTACTTCAAAACACTGAAGCTGCGTTTGGCCTTTGCCACTCAGTTAAGTTCTTGACAGCAGCACGCGCTACGAGAGAGACAGTTTGATGTCAGTGCTCAGAATATCTTCCAAACACAAAGTGATCCACGCCAACGTCACGCCAACATGTCAATAACACAACCATCTTCACACAACATGGACACCAGCCACTCTTCTGTTTACTGTGTTGCTCGTTATGACCGTTGCCAGGGCAGCACCGTTTACGTCCTATCAGCTTTCAGCGTCTCATCCACGGCTGGAGTCCTGATACATGAGAGCAGATAATGACCGGACCTAAATAAAGCACTTCCCTCGGATCAAACTTCCCCCTCGCAGGAATGAAGGGACATCATTTGATTATACAATCACACAAGAAAGATTATCACTACCTGCTTTGGAACAACCTAAGAAGGATTCATGTGTAGTAAACAACAACAAAAAGCACTGGGCTCATTGTTTTTGTTTGTTCAATGCATCTCCAACAGCGCTGAGACGACACAGGCGAGCAGGGAGCCTCGTATGTGGGAGAGAAAGG